TAGAGTGGTACTTATGTGTGACCTGAGGGTCTTACGTGCTTACATTGAGTATTATGTTATCCTGCCTTATGTTTGTGTTGTGCATTATGTCTTTGTGATTTATGATATGCGGAGCTTTACAGACCGGACCAGAGGGTCCAACGAACCGTGGGACTGGAGGGTCCCACTGAGACACATTGATTGGAGGGTCTTACAGTGATATAGCCTCGAGTGGCTAATGAGTTGTGTGTGTAGTATTTTGGGGAACTCACTAAGCTTCGTGCTTACCGTGTTATGTGATATGTGTTTCAGGTTTTCTCAGAATCGCGGGAAGGCACCGACTTGATTGTACACACCAGAGAAAGAGTTATGTTTTGAGGATCCTGGATTATTAATCAAACAATTATGGAGTTGTGTTTTGTAAATTAAACCAATGAGATTTTTAGGAAATGTGTTATGAGAATCATGTGATTTTAAAACGAAAAATTTGTTTGAAAATTTACGGTGTTACAAAATGTAACACCTTGATCTAGGTATTTCCCATTTATTCCCTTAATATGAAATTTATTTGCAAAATTGGTCCATGGCTCATTAAGTGGAAATCGCGTGTGTGCCTAGAATCATCAAGATTTAAAACGAAATTTGGATCCATCTTATTAAAGAAATCAAAAGGGTTTAGAAATGAAAAGTTAAGATAAGATATGAAATATATCAATATTATACTCTATTTATAGAGAAAAAAAATAGAAATTTTAGTATTTTTTTTTTATTTTTTTATAGATGATATTAGATTTTTAGTAGATAATGATTTTTATCCTAAAATATATAATCTTATCTAAAAAAATATGGTGGAACGTTTTCTTTGTTCAACATGTGTTAAAGTGAAATGGTTGTGATCTTTTATGAGTTGGGTTGCTTTGTCGGCCTAGTTCACCAAAAATAATTCATTTTTCTTTTTTTTTTAATAAATCTTCTGTGAGCGGCTCACCAAAAATCCTCCAATGGGGGTAGTCTTATGTCTTCCATACCTCCCTTTTGATACGGGTCTTGAGAAACCATTCTGTTAAATCTTACTTGCCAAAAGGGTTGTAAATAGATCTAGATGCTCCTCCACTACCTTACAAATGTCTCTCCACTACCTTATAAATGTCTGACCACTACATAAATCCTCAAAGACAACAACATATTTTCTTATGGTAGTGTTTGGTGGGTGGTATTGCACTGGATATAACCGAACACGTATTTTTGAAGTAGCATATGACAGACACATAACATGGACAAGGTATAACTTTGACCAAATCCAGGGAGACTAATTCACTGAAATTTTAGTCTCACCTAAACCCATGGAACACACTTTAAGAGAATGTATAATAACAGAAAAACCCCTAGGACTTCTGTCCCCACCGTCCCATATCCCTACCCCTTCTCTGATGAAGGTTTGTCTTCCTCTTAACTGGTCGATCTATTTCCTTCATCTCTAGATCTTTGTTGCTTGATCTGCCAGTAAATATACAAAATAAAACTTGAAATATGTTTCTTTCATTTCTCGATCCGCTTCGTCTCACTCATGGTCTTTGTTGCTTCCACATTTCTTGATATAATGAGTTATTTTTTTCAAAAAAAGAAAAAAAAATATTGTAATTTACTTCTTCTTTGTTTTTTATTTTTCTTTCTTTTCTCCCTTTGGGTTTAATTTTCATATTGCAAGAAGAAATCGAGGATTTGACATATTGTCATTGTAAAAAAAAATAAAAATATCACAATTTAGTAATTTTAACATATTGTTTTGTCATTGTCCTTCTCATATCAAAGGCTAAACAAATAATTTAATTTGTTTTATTCAATTCAATCCGGTTCATACTTGTCTTTAATGGTTAATTTAAGGGGAACACAGCTCCATTGAGGATGCCACTTTGGAAGACGGCTTCTCCTAAGTATCCAACAACAATTCCCTGAATTCAGGATTCAGGACAGGCATGTTCCTTCAGCGGTCGGTATTGATAAGGAGATTGGCCGAAATCCCGATGAGTCCCCAAACAAATGAGCCCAATGTCCCTAAAGTTTGGAAAGTGTACAAGAGGAGTAAGCACCTAGAATGACAGGGCTAGGATTAATCGGGTCGTTATGCATGAAAAGAGATAGGATAGGGAATATCATTTAGTTGGATTTGGAGATCATGGGGATCATTCTGATTTTTCTATTGTTATGAAGTCGGTCGGCTATTTGAGCTTGGGCAAAGATACTTGCACTCTGTGTCTGATTTTCTTTTTGTCTTTTGAAGTTTTCAGAACCAATACAAATATTCAGTCGTTTAATTTTATTTCAGTGAATTCCTTTTGAATTTTAAAAAAACTTGATCAAACAAAACCATTTTCCTTATA